ATACACAGTTGTAACATTTAGTTTTAAATGTTTAAAATATTCAGCTCCGCTGGATTGCTGGGAAGTTATCCACATATAAATTCCAGTATCATTGATGTTGTACCAGACATTCAATTTTAATCAACTAATAACAAAGTCACACTAGGGCAATTCTGGCCGCCTTAACAAAAATAAACAGATAACAAAAAATAATGGAAGAAGAAGAATAAGAAGCATCAAGGAAAGCCTCACTATTTAGGTCTATGATTTATGAGTTTATTAATTCTCCTAAACAATCTAACCATGCTGGTTCAAAGTACTGAAATGAACTATTCCCATACTTTTGTAAAGCTGCAAATTTAACAGGTATATCCTCAGAACATGACACGCCTGGAATGTCTTTACTCATCAACTTCCAAGTTGTCAATTCATTCTCCAACTTCTTCATACTAAGTTGTAATTCTTGTAGTTTGGATAACTCTGCCTCTGCCCTCTCTCTGCGGCCCTTTTCTTCCAACAATTTTTCCTTCAATAACTCAACATTTTCATGAGCCAACTTCAGCTTTCTTGCTTCCCTCACTTCAGCATCCTAGGAATTTAGAAACAGTAGCTTGTCATATAATAGTCAAGAAAAAGATATTCGTACACATCTACAAAAGATGAAATCAGTCATACCCAACTCTCTTTCAAACGAGAGCTTCCCAAAATCCATTCAAAATTGAAACCAAAGATCCCAACAGCACAAGACAAATATTCTCCACCAAAGTATTTAAAATTCTTTTTGTTCAGTACAATTTCTTTTATTCCAAATGATAAACTTTTGTTTTATCCTTCTTCATCTTCTCTAAAAATACAAAATCTATGATGAAAATATAAAAGGTTGATGAGCCAAAACTCAAATTACCACAGCCAGCATAACAATATACTCCTTAACCCTAGGCCAAATGGCCAAATCACATTACCAAACAAACAATGCATTGACTAAGTATGAACCATTCAACATATACAGACAGATTGGCTGCCTAATCACTAATGTTTAGAATTTTATGAACTTAAGTCCAAACCAAAAATTAAACTTTCGAGAAGCTGAAAATTTTTGTGAAAAACTTAATGGAAAAGTATTTAAGAATGATCATCAATCAACTTCATAGAGAACCTGAGGATTCAATAGGAAGAAACAATTTTATTCATTAGAAAAAAAAAATTAACAACGAAAACTTACAAAGTTCTAAGCTCTTCTTGCAGATGTTTAACAAGAATATTATTCTCCGTGGATTCAACTTCTTGAAATGTAAAACTTGACAGTTTCTTCTCCACTTCGCTTTTTTGTTGCACGCACTGAAAAATAAAGATGAATTAAAAGAAAATTTGATCAACTCGTGTAAGTATAAGACAAATCCTAATATTATACAAAATGACAATTCAATATCAAGGCCAAGCTGACCCAACAAACAAATAAATTATAAAGGAAAAGGTAAAACTGCAGTTGGCATTGCAAACAGACAGGCGATGATGTATATATGAGAAAGATATTCCACAGAACATATCAACTGGTGTCTAGGAGCGATAGAAATAAGAGATCTACCTCGCTAAGTTGTTTCTTAATATCATCCAGCTGCTTTTTCAATAGCTCTGATTCTTTCTCAGCATTATGAGATCTGCATTCCATTCGTTCAAGCTAAACAAGAATGGGGAAGGTTGAATGGCATGTTCATAACTTCATACAGACTATAAAACTAAATCAATCAAAACCACCACTCACATCTGCTGTTATTCTAGAAACAGAAAGCTTGGATTCTCCTTTCAGCTGGGAAAAATCGTTATTGAGACGCTTTTTTTCCCTCTCTATGTTTTCAGAAAGATGTCTCAGTTTCCCCTCTACATCACTTGCTTTCTCCTCAGCCAAAGCTGCTGAAGACTCAGCTTTCATGCGAAGGTTCATTTCATTTTGAAGCTTCACCTGATATTTGAAATGTGATATGCTGAGTGGGACAGGAAAAAAACCCGTTTGGAATTCCAAACAGGGAACAAAATAAAACTAGGAAGAAAAACAGAGAGAACAGCTGAATCATTCTTTTGGGACAACCAAATGGTGGATGAAGTACCCATCATGGATAAAGGTTCAAGCATACATATACCTCAAGTTCGCTGTTTGATTGTAATTGTTTAGTCAATCTTTCATGAGAATCGTGTAACTCCTTCAAAAGCTGCTCCTGCAGAGCCTGTTCACGTCCCTTTGCAGCAGCAAGTTCTTGTTCCACATACAAAAATTGATCCAGATATTTCTTCCTCTCAGATTCTGCAGCACATGTAACTAATGAGGGACACAAACAAAAAATGGATAATCTAAAGAGTTTCCAGATGGTTAGCTTTGCAAATAACAAAAGAATTCTGATATTAAGGAAAAGAACTTATCTTACCAATGCTATGAAATAAATTCATGTGCATACATGATAAAGCAGTTGCAAACAAGAAAGAAACTATCTTGCTGTTTTATGGTTCGTTATTTTCGACTTTGCAATCTGGGGTATCAGTGATTTTTAACATAAATGGCTCACAACACAAATCGAAGACAAGTCTCATATCATATTAGGTTCAAGTTACTAGGAGCCTAGGAATAAATCAGAAATTGAATTTCAGTTTAAGATGTAGTGGCACTTTGGGGGGGGGGGGGATATGGAACTAACAAAGTCCAGCCCATAATTATATGGTGTTCTAGTAACGTCAATGAGTCCAGGACTTTTCTCTACTCTTAAGTTAGTCATCCATGCTTGCCTACTAGTTCCAATATTGTCTATTCTATCCTCAGTATGGAAGGAAAGGGTTTGATAGATTATATGCATCCTACTCTTAAAAAATAAGACTGAAACAAAGGAAACAAAAGATTCCCAACTATGATACAAGGATAAGATTTTCTTGAACTTCTGTTGTTCCCAAAAGATTTAGCTGTGTTTTCTTCGCACTTTGCAGTTCTAGCCCCTTTGCTTTGTCATACTCAATTGAAATCTTAAACATATCCCATGAAAGCCTAAAATCCAAGTATTCCTAGAACCGGTTTTCTTTCCTTATATTTCATTCTTCTTTCAAAGGTGTTCTTTGTTGACCCAAACGAAACACCAAGGTCTTCTTCAACCCTTAAACTTCATTCTCTGAAGCTTCTTTTAAACCCCAAGTTCGCTTAAGCCGCACTTTCTCATTCTTTGCAGTCCTAATCCTTTTTCTTACCAAATTAAAATCATACAAATCCACAAGTATTTCCTACAAATTTTAGCACTCAAATAGCCTCCTGCACAGTTTCAAATCACAAAGTATTTCTGCTGCTTCAACCAGTTTCCTTGTTTTACCATCTTTATTTGTCTTTCATTCTTCTTTTGAAGCTTAAGTTGTTCTACAAACCGTGAACTTCTTTCTTTACAACCATAACCCACTACACCACATGTTCATTTTGCTAAACGAAACCCACAACATAAGAAAATTTAGGCTAAGACAGCCTGTCCCTACATGAAGACATACTCTGATCAAAATAATAAAATTTAAAATTGATTCAGTTTGTCACTTGTTGATACGGAAATCTTTACATAGTTATGATACCACCATATTACACCATTAGTTGATCCAATAAAGTAAAGAAATGTTTTTTTCGAATATTTGTGCAACAATAACAGTGAGTTTGGAAACGAAGACTTTGCAATTCCTATTCAGCCTGCAAGAAGCGAACAGAAATAGAGCATTGAACTGTGACTGTGAGAACCACAATTATGAAAAAAAATTGACAAACTGAAGGGGAAAGAGCAATGCTGAGCAATGTAGTGGAAAATCAAATTCAAAGAACCCACCAACTTTGCAAAATTTCTCATTTAAAGCTGCCAATTTAGATTGATAATCAGAAGCTTGCTTCTCCGTGTTGCTCAAGGCGTCTATAAAGTCTGATTTAACCTGTGCCAAAGGAAGGGAAAAGGGTTCCTCTTAGCAATAAATATGCAATAAAAGAGGAATACACTGCAGTAAGGTCTACAAGCAAGAGAAACAAAACACAGATGATCGTCCTAAATCCACATTTGAAAAAAGCTTCCGGCCAATAGGACTCGTATATACTAGATTTAGCTGCCAGAATGAAATACTCAAATACAGCTATGGAAAATTGGATGAATCAATTACATTAAATATCATAGATTATCAGCAAACAATCATATAATCGATTCATATGTTATGGATTGAAAGGCAATTGGGCGGCACTGGCGAGAGAGAGAAGAGAGGGAAGCATTAATACCATTTGGCGGCATTGATAGGTGCAGAGCAAGTGGTGGGAGGAGGAATCGGGAGGTGGAAGGGAAGAAGAAGGAGGAGGAGGGTCGTCCTCGAAGATGACGAGAGGGCCAGGGCCTGGGGCAGGCGGTGGGGTCTCCGCCTCCGGCGCCGCCGCCCGTTGCTTCTTCGTCGGGGGAGTTCTTACTATCATCTTCAACCGATCCTTAAACCTAGACCCCTCTCTCTCTCTAACAGCACAGCACAGAAGAAAAGGAGAGAGAGTGGTGGGTTAATTTAAACGCAATGGGGGAGGGCGCCTTTTCGTTCAACCGTATTTTCTTTCTTTCTTCTTTTCAAGTTTGAAACTTAGAGAAATAGCCTAGAAATTTTTTTAACTGTGATCGGAGCATGAATGGTACATCACATATTTTTTATATAAGTTTGAAGAAATTTTATTTTTTAAGGTATTAAATTTTTAACACACATATCTTACTATTTATATAATAACATATGATTTACCATTATGTGTACCGACCTCACTGACAATTCACCGCAGCTGCAGCTACAAATCTTCCTTAACACAATTGATCTTTTCATAAGGAAATTCCCTTTCTGGCCTTGAAGGGACAAAGTTGGTGTCATTTTATTTTCATTTATTTTTCCTTTTTGTCCGCGGGCTTGGGCTTTCATACAAACTTGTTATTTTGTTTTGTTTTTATACAAACAATAATACAGGAAAGAAAGCAGGATTCAACGTGAAATCTTGGGTGCAAAAGAAAATGCTTTGAAATAACTAAGTTACAAATCATCTTACTTCACTCGACCTCTCACTTTGAAATCTAGTAATGAAGTGGTGATCAATGTGTTACCAAACACATATTTATTAGAATATTTCATTTATTTATTTATTGACATTTCAACTGTCATATTATATACACAGAGCGTTAAGGACATACTATTGCAAACATCAACCAAACCAGCCAAGAACAATCCCTTTTGGTCTAATTTATTTACTACTCTGCATCCATATTGTACGTACTCGCTACTTACATCAACATGGATGGATTCGTTGTAGGAAAATTAAAATATAATATTGTTGTAATACGCATTGGATCGATTGAGACGCCTGCGGCTGCCTGCATGCCTCTTCGTATCACTTTTGTGAGAATCGAATGTGGATGCCATCTCCAAATGCTATCAGAGGCCGTCGAGCAATTCGTCCTCCCTTGATTATTGTCCACCTATATACCCATACACACATACAATACAAGTTACTTGATTTTATTTAGTTCTCTGTGTTTGGAGACGCCGCTGAAATTACAAGTAATAACATCTGAAATGTACTTATCTCACCTGTATTTGGAGACCACAACATGAAGAAAGGTGGCAAGCACCACTTTAGAATACTCTGCCCCTGCACATTGTCTCGATCCTCCTCCAAACGGCGTAAAATTCTTAGCCACCGTGTACGAATCGAGATCCTTCCAGCGCCATGGGTTAAAAGCAAGCGGATCTTTGTACATGACAGGGTCCAGATGTAGAGTAGAATTAACCACCATGATCGTCCAGTCGGCTGGGATTGTATATCCTACACATTGTCCAATTAACCCCCGGATTAACTTAAGCAGTTCACTAATTAGCATAATCTGATGCATTCCTGCATATGCATACCCTTTATTTCGATATCCTTGATTGCTCTTCGTAGGAGTCCCGGAGGATTATTGGTCAATCTCAGAATTTCACTCACCACCTACAGTTGAATAACTCACAAAAGGATTTTTTTAGTCAAAATGATTCCTGAGATTGATATAACTACTCATTATTGTCATTGAGATTTAAAATAGATAGAAGTTGTTCTTTTGATTGTCCATCGTCAATTATTTTGGTTTTTTTGTGAAATTTTTTTGTTCAATCGAAGATTTATCATAGAATGACCAAAATGATTGACGGTGGACAATTTCAGGGTCACTTTTATCCATTTTAAATCTTATTAACCAAAGTGAGGAGTTATATGTCAATATCCGGGCATGTAAACAAATAAAAATAAGAAATGGTAAATTACACTTTACTACCTCAGGCTTGAGGTCTATTGCAACATCATACAACATCTTCAAAGCATTTCACTTTCATACCTCATGTACTATTTTATTTCTATATAATACATCCGTTACGTTTTACATTCATTGGTCCATTAAGAGTTAACGTGGCTACCATATTTGTGCCACGTGACTGACAAATTTGTGCCGCGTGACAAAACAAATAATTTTTTATACATTAAAAATATTATAATAATTTACCCTATTTATTAAATAAAATAATAAAAAAAACCCACACCCAGATCCCTTCCTTCCCCCTCACCTCTCAGCAACCCCAGACCCACTTCTCCCTCCACCTCTCCAATGGCTTCCTCCTCCCTGTCCCTCCTCTCCCCCAACAATACCTCAAGTAAAATGTAATTTACCCAATATGAAATGAACATGAGGGCGTAACAAAAAGTTACTTACATGAGGAGTGAAAGTCAGAGATTTGTAATCTTCCCAGGTGAGTGAAGAATCTGAATCCGCTCGGTTTTTGAGAATTGCCTCATGCTCAGCCTATCAAACACAACTCTGTTACTTACATATCGATCGACATCATTGCAAAAGAAAGAGATTGCTTGCTCAAAAAGGACCAAGTGTACGTTGAATGCACAGGTTAAGAAGTACGTACAGCTAGTTCCTCCATTACTTCAGGATGCTCAGCTAGTAGTTTGAAACCGAGGCACATTACAGTCCCAATGGACTCAAAGCTAGCAAATAAGAACCCGTACAGCAGACGCACAATGAAGTCCTCGGTTAAGTAGTTCTCCGTTCTTAAGTCTTTAATCGCTTGATCAAGGAAATCTTCCTCTTTCTCTTCTTCTGCCTCCTTAGCACGCCTCTCCTTTAGCATGTTCGTAATCATCGTAATTACTTTCTCTTGGTCCTGCAAATCATGAGACCGATCGAGAATCATTAGTCTAGCTATGCAGTTGTTATATTCACACTCCCAGTTTGCGATTTGCACTTCAATTTCAATGGTTTATAATCTTAAAAACGCGAAAGTTGAGTGCTTCATGACAACGTTATCCGCTTATCTCTGTGCATCTCAAATCTAATAGATTCCATGAAATTCTTTTAGATTTAAAAAGAATGGATCAATGACAGATTACCTTTAAGCATTTGTGGAATGCAGTACCAGGGATGTTCAAGGGCAATGAGGTAAGACCCTTGGTGAGTGTAGCAATTTTTTCGCTTATATCGACAGGCGCTTTATCAACATCATAACCGCACAAAAATCTTGCAGTAAATTCAAGAACCATCTGCAGAATTACACAAGTTAATCACATATTATATAAGTACAGTTAATTAAAATTTAAAGAGCAAAGAAATGAAGTGACAGAAATGTATATATACAGCGGAAACAGCATGCTTGATTTCAACAGAAGGCTTGGTACACCAGTGGAGTAGGGTTTTGTCGATCCATGCTACTAGCTGAGGAAGCTTTTCCTTGAGGGCCTCCGGAGACAAGTGATTCCGAAGACTGCTTCTCATATACTTGTGAATTAGGCCAGGTCCAGTTATCCGATTTTCGCCTTCTAATGATAAGAGCTTGTTGAATGTGTCCAGGTACCACAGTTCAACTAACTTCCCTTCTTGTGAGAAGAGGTAACTGTTGATTTCGGGATCTGCCGAGACAACAACACGCCGCCCGATAAAACTTGTTCGAAATATCGGTCCATATCTGGAAAAATAAAAACAATATATACGAGAAAATTAACAAAAACATACGACTGATCATACATTTTAAATTGTACAACTTAGACTTTTGAGATAAAACTCCACACAGTGCAAACGTGCGTAGCTTACTAAATTGTGGAATAGATACCTTTGAATTCTTTTCCTGACGAAGGGGTGGAGGTCGAGGGAGTAGCTAGGAATGAGCAAAGAAAGGGTTTCTCCAAGGAAAGGGAGGCCCATGGAACCAGGAGGAAGAACTCCATTGCCCTTGGCTCCTGGAGTCCTCCATCTGTAAAACCATTGAGTGCAATATATCACAAGAAACGAAACCATCAACACCGCCACCCACATTATTCCCAAATATTCCTGAACACCTTACTTTTGGAAGAGAAGGGGTTTTGGTTTATGAGCCGGAGGGTGATGAAAGTTGGAGAAGGGATTTTTGGTGAATTCGTAGTGGGAATTGAGAAGTGAATGTGCACATATATATATACATAAAAATGAGGCAAGATCAAGGAGATTTTTTTTTTGTTCAAAAATCAAATTAATAAATAATTTTATACTAATGTATATAATATCGTTTAACTCCGCCTATGTCTTACATGGTCGGTCCCAAGCCCGGATAAAGGAGGAGGGGGAGGGCGTCAGGTAGTCGACAGCCGGCACTCCATGATCACGTCGAATCCTTATGAAAATGAATCCAGAACAAAATCGCGCTAAAGCTAGGGCGTCACCCGTAAGTGGCGCGCTGTGTGGCCTGAGCACAGTGATAAGTGAGCAAGGGTCGCTGTATCTCCATCGGCACCCGGATGCAGTGTTAAATGAGCAAGGGGGCCATAGAAACTTCTTTTCGAACGACTCCACTCAAAGTTGTTTGGGAGCATATGCTCCTATCAACTTTACCCGGGACACACAAAAGAAGTACTTTGATCCTATTAGACGGGGGAGGGTGAAGAAGCTAGGACAGAAGGGTAGAGTTCAAGAGAGCAAAATGCGTTTAGGAACGTGGAATATAGGAACCTTAACGGGAAAATCTATGGAAGTAGTGGAAGTTATGGTGAGGAGAAGGATAAATATTATGTGCCTACAAGAAACTAAGTGGGTTGGTAGTAAGGCAAAGGATCTAGAAAACTCAGGGTTTAAACTTTGGTATTCGGGCACAAATAGAACGAGAAACGGTGTTGGCAATCATCGTGGACAAGACCTTGGTACAAGATGTTGTAGATGTCAAGAGGGTAGGAGATAGAATCATGGCAATCAAGATTGTAATAGGACAAGAACTTATCAATGTGATTAGTGCGTACGCACCTCAAGTAGGGTTGGATACGAGTTCGAAGGAGAAATTTTGGGAAGATCTTGGAGACTTGGTGCAAGGAATTGCTCAGACGGAGAAGTTATTTATAGGAGGAGATTTAAATGGACACGTGGGCAGGGAGACAGGCAACTATGGAGGTTTTCATGGTGGCCATGGTTTTGGGGGAGAGAAACGAGGATGGGGAAGCTATCTTGGATTTTGCAATGGCATATGATCTCTTCTTAGCCAACACCTTCTTTAAGAAGAGAGAAGAACATGTGATCACCTACAAGAGTGGGTCGTCAAAAACACAAATAGATTTTCTTCTAATGAGGAAAGGGGATCGTATAACTTGTAAGGATTGCAAAGTTATACCAGGAGAGAGCGTGGCTAATCAACATCGCTTGTTGGTGATGGATGTACATATCAAAAGAGTAAGACAAAAGAACAAGACTTGGAAGTGCCCAAGGACTAGATGGTGGAATCTAAAAGAAGAAAAACAAGCCATTTTCAAAGAGAAGGTAATCACCCAATGTGTGTGGGATAGAGAGGGGGAAGCTAGCCAAATGTGGGATTCCATGGCTAGTTGTATCCGAAAAGTAGCAAAAGAGGTATTAGGAGAGTCCAAGGGCTTTGCCCCACACCAAAAGGAATCTTGGTGGTGGAATGAGGAGGTACAAACAAAGGTGAAGGCTAAGAAGGAATGTTGTAAAGCCTTATACAAGGAGAGGACCGATGAAAATGGTGAAAGGTATAGAAAAGCGAAGCAAGAGGCGAAGAAAGCTGTCAGAGAAGCTAAGTTAGCGGCTTACGACGATATGTATAAACGACTAGATACCAAAGAAGGAGAGTTGGATATCTATAAACTATCTAGAGCAAGGGAAAAGAAGACAAAGGGACCTAAACCAAGTGAGGTGCATCAAGGATGAGGATGGAAAGGTTCTTGCTACAGAGAACGCGGTTAAAGACAGATGGAGAGGTTATTTTCATAATCTTTTCAATGAAGGACATGAAATGAGTGCTTCTTTAGGGGAGTTGAGTAACTCAGAAGAGTGTAGAAACTACTCTTTTTATCGTCGAATCCGGAAGGAAGAAATGGTTGTAGCTTTGAAGAAGATGAAGCATAAAAAAGCAATAGGCCCAGACGATATACCAATCGAAGTGTGGAAACTTTTGGGAGAGACAGGTATAACATGGCTCACTGACCTTTTCAATAGGATTTTGAAAACGAAGAAGATGCCAAATGAGTGGCGAACGAGCACTTTGGTGCCTATCTACAAGAATAAGGGCGACGTACAAAATTGCATGAACTATAGGGGTATTAAGCTAATGAGTCATACAATGAAGCTCTGGGAGAGAGTCATTGAGCATAGATTGAGGCAAGAGACACGGGTTTCGGACAACCAATTCGGGTTCATGCCAGGGCGCTCAACCATGGAGGCAATCTATCTCTTACGAAGATTGATGGAAAAGATATAGAGATGGGAAAAAGGATTTACACATGGTCTTTATAGATTTGGAAAAAGCGTATGATAGGGTCCCAAGAGACATTCTTTGGAGGATTTTAGAGAAGAAAGGAGTACGAGTAGCATATATCCAAGCTATAAAGGATATGTATGAAGGAGCAAAGACTGCCGTAAGAACTCATGAAGGACAAACCGAAAGCTTTCCCATAACTGTAGGATTACATCAAGGCTCATCCTTAAGTCCTTACCTTTTTGCGTTGGTAATGGATGAGTTAACAGGACATATTCAAGATGATATTCCTTGGTGTATGCTTTTCGCAGACGATATAGTGTTGATAGATGAAACTCAGGAAGGGGTAAATGCAAAGCTTAACCTTTGGAGAGAAGTGTTGGAATCTAAAGGTCTTCGCCTAAGCCGATCAAAGACAGAATATATGGAGTGCAAGTTCAGTGCAAATGGAGGCCAAAACGAGTTAGGGGTGAGGATCGGAGATCAAGAAATACCAAAGAGCGACCGTTTTCGTTACCTAGGATCTATCTTGCAAAAGAACGGAGAATTAGATGGAGATCTCAACCATAGAATACAAGCTGGATGGATGAAGTGGAAGAGTGCATCCGGCGTGTTGTGTGACCGCCGTATGCCACTGAAGCTCAAGGGAAAATTTTATAGGACGGCAATAAGGCCGGCGATGCTGTATGGCACAGAATGTTGGGCGGTGAAACATCAACACGTACACAAAATGGGTGTAGCGGAGATGAGGATGCTTCGTTGGATGTGTGGGCACACGAGAAAGGATAAGATTAGGAATGAGGATATCCGGGGTAAAGTAGGAGTAGCCGAAATTGAAGGAAAGATGAGAGAAAATCGGTTACGGTGGTTTGGACATGTGCAAAGAAGGCCTACTGACGCTCCGATTAGAAGATGCGACTATGGGACAGAGGTTCAGGGCCGAAGGGGTAGAGGAAGACCTAGGAAAACTTTGGAAGAGACTCTAAGAAAAGACTTAGAGTACTTGGATCTAACGAAGGACATGACACAGGATCGAGCACAATGGCGTTCTAAGATTCATATAGCCGATCCCACTCAGTGACTTGGATTTTCCAAGTCTCCAACCGAGAAGTTTTCCTCACTCGGGAAATTAAGGGAACACTACCCAACCTACATGCTCCACTCAGAAAGCTTCAACATACAAGCTTCAACAAAAGAAAATTCAAAGAACTTAGCGAAGAAGGCTTTGGTGTATTTAACACAATACGTTGAAATGAAGGAAAAGCTTATTTATTGATATCCCCGATAAGCTACAAATATGTACATATACATGAGTCAAAATAAACAACACAAGAGGGAGCCTTCACAAAGGTTGCTTAGGAGAAGTCTCAGCAGTCGGTAGAGCCCCAGAAAGAGAAGGCACCGGAGGGGGATCATTTGGAGCCTCAGTACTGGACAGAACCCTAGAAGGAGGAGGCATCAGAGGTTGATCATTTGGAGCTTCATTACGCGGTACAGCCCCAGAAGACGAAGGCAATAAATGCCTTTGGAACAAACCCACAAATCTCTGATGATCAAGTAAAACCTGACCATCAGTTTCCTTCATCTGGTCAAGCTTCCTCTTCATGTTTGTAGCATAGTCATGTGCGAGCCGGTGCAACTGTTTATTCTCATGCTTGAGCCCTCTAATCTCCTGTTTGAGACTCATCACTTCAGCCGCCAATGATTCAACTTGGCGGGTTCGAGCAAATAGGCGTTGGGCCATATTAGACACAGAACCTGCACACTGAACACTGAGAGCCAGCGAATCCTTAACAGCTAACTCATCAGACCGTTTGGAAAGTAGTCTGTTATCTTTGGGAGTGAGAAGGTTCCTGGCCACCACCGCAGCGGTCATATCATTCTTCATCACGGAATCCCCAACGGTAAGAGGACCAGTAGGGGAGACGAAGGATGGGCGCCATATGTTGTCTGGAGAAGGCGGGGCTGCCTCTTCAACAAGGTTCAAGTCAAAACGACGGTCGGAGGGGCCAGACATTTTCAAAGGTGTTGAAGAGAGAAGAGGTCGGACAAATCAAGATCTTAGAAGTGCAAGAATGAAGCTTCTACTGGTGGAGATTCAAGTGTGCTTTGGAACTTAATGCCAGCCCCTATAAAAAATCTGCACTCGACGGAGCTTCAGAAATCGAAGAGGCGCCTGCTCAGAAATCGAAGAGGCGTTTGCTTTTCTCAAAAGCTGGGCTGCTTAGAGATCACGAGGGTTGATCTCAGAAATCGAAGAGGCGTTTGCTTTCTCAAAAGTTGGGCTGCTCAAAGACCACGAAGGCCGATCTCAGAAATCGAAGAGGCGCTCGCTTTCTCAAAAGCTGGGCTCCCCAGAGACCACGAGGGCCGATCTCAGAAATCGAAGAGGCACCTACTTTTCCAGCCTTGTCAGCACCTGTCACACGCACACTCAGCTTTGCGGAAATTATGGGCATTCTGTCGAAGACTTCTGGGGAAGTAGAAAACACATGAATCTTACTGTTCAATCACCCACTTCCCACACGCAACAATAGCTCATGGGTACCACAGATAACTTTGCCAAAGTTCTCTGCCAAAGTTGAGCACGTGAAGCTTGCAGCTCCCACTACATCGCTCTGACCAAGAAGGGTAAAAGAATAGCAAAGAAACAGCACTAACAAAGTTTAGACCCATAAATTTTGAAGGTCTAGCTAC